AGTGGGATTGACCGTCACATTATAACGCCCACACGGCTAAAAGGGCGAGCATGTTTGGTGGGACGGGGATTCGAACCCGCGACCCTCAGATTGCGAGTCGAGTGCCTTATCCACCTGGCCATGCCGGGCCGCTACTAATGGCCAGTAAAAAAATTCACTAAAGCTACACTATTTTACGTATAGAAATTTATATAAAAATAACCATGCATAATTCGTTAGGATTGTCCAGCGGTAGCATACAGTGCACCAATACACACAGACGCATATAGAATTAAATATATTTTCTATAAATAAACCCGAAATTTAAAGAAAAACTAGCAAAATACACGTGGGTAGTTTCAGTAGATAATTTCGCAGTTATTTCAACTGAAAAACGCATTATTTGTTTTTAATTACAAAAATGAAGTTTCAACTTTTCTACGATGTGGAGGAACATTGCTAACAACAAATACATACAGTACTTCAAACCAGGTCGTATCATTTGTGCATTTCAGCCATAGAGATTTGAGGTGCACAAATGATGTATAAACACACCTGTATATAGACAAAATTATATACAACCAAAAAAAAAAATGAATAGAGATGACAGATTGCCAAATAAGTAATGTCTCTAATATAATGACTTTAAATCTTCAGAAACCTATGCAAGAAAGGAGAGATGACACACTTAGAACCACAATATTTTCACGAACTAAATGTTTAAATGCACAACTCAACGGGAAGAAACGTTCTTGACTTTTTATACTCCATGTAGTGATTAGGTGTTGATGTCTGTTTCACGGACAATATGACCACCTTTCAGCAAAAAAAAATAAATCAGTGATAACTGATGAGAGTTTCGTACAAGAGTAAATATAATATGAAGGTAACAGAAACTATCAAATTTGCAAACTGTTATCATATATGATAGCACCTCGCGTTTGGCTCTTTATCCTGGTATTCGGTAGCAATAACATAAATATTTGCCGGATTTTGATATTTCACTCTTGAGGTGCAGAGTGCTGCACTAGACAACTCGTGCAATATGTGACATTTATATCTAAAGATGGTGCCCGGCTATAATACAGATTCTCGTCTCTATGGTTTCGATGTTAAGTTCGCATGTTGGAAAAAAAAGTGTTTGTGTATAAACTAAGATATAGATTGTTGTTACTGTTAGTTTTATAATCTTCATTCACAATCACTAAACAACAAAGGTTCTTGAGTGTCCACAGTGATTCTTTGATCTTCGTTATTGCTTTATAATTCTAGAGCCAGAAAATAATTGACAGATTTGTATCATTCGCATTCACCCACACATACCAAGAAAGATGGCGCCAACCAAAAGGCATCGATAACAACAACAACAAAACCACTTAACTTATAAAATTAAAACTGTAAAGTGTTTTTAACAACAACAACAACAAAACCACTTAACTTATAAAATTAAAACTGTAAAGTGTTTTTAACAACAACAAAACCAAAACCACTAACTTATAAAATTAAAACTGTAAAGTGTTTTTTAACAACAACAACAACAAAACCACTAAACTTATAAAATTAAAACTGTAAAATGTTTTTTAACAACAACAACAACAAAACCACTTAACTTATAAAATTAAAACTGTAAAGTGTTTTTTAACAACAACAACAACAAAACCACT